ATATATATATATGTCTTACCGGCAACGGTTGTCGGCTGTCGTCAATAATGAACTCGGGGACCTTCTGTGATGGCGGCGGCGTTGGCGCAGCACACGCGGAGGAAATGAGTGCCGCGAGGAGGACAAAAGGCAGGTAGTGATGGGATAGGAGCATTGAGGGAGTAACGGGATGCTGCTGTGTGATGAGTGTTGGGAAGATGGGAAGAGATGTTATAGTAGAAAGCGGTGCGAGAGGAGTGAGCTGAACCAGCAGCGGGGGATAGTAGAAAGTGGCGACGCGAGGAGTGGACTGAACCAGCAGTTGGGGAAGAGTTCGCTCTTTCGATCGAGTTTATATTCTTGATGCAAGTGGGCATATGCAGATATGACGAGTTGACTCAGAAAGATTTACTGGTATATCTATCATTTATCTATCCCTGAAATGAGCAAATTGGCTAAAGCCGTGCACAGCCGTGCACGCGTAAGATTGTATAAATTCCCTGTGAATTCCTCCCCCTGTGCTGATGCTTTTTATGCATCCTGGGATGCCCTATAGCAGGAGCTTCTATACATGGTTGAGGCTCACCAATCCAAAGTTGGACTATGTAGTATTGCCCATTTGCGAAACACTAAGAGTGAGCCCCGAGTGAGCCTGAGTGAGCCTGAGTGAACGGGCACAAGCACTGCAAAGGTGGCGCTGATATCAAAGAAGATCAGTTGAGGTCAATCAAATAGCTCAAGCGCTCAACGACTGGGCTGGATGTATAGTAAATATGGTACCGGTGTACGTGAATCTATAAAGTACAAGTCTAGTAAGACAGTCTACTATGACTAAAGTGAATGATAGCATTCATTTCTCGTTAATCCCTCTCTTCACATATGCCGAGTGGTAGAGTGGTAGGGGCTCAGGCGAGCGATCTCTCCATCTCACAAATACTTTTTGAGGTTGCTGTGGCTCTGGTGAAATACTTCTCGTATTCCACTCATAGGCTGTCAGATTTCTTGTGCAATCCCTAGATTATCTTTTATTCGAGTGATTGCTCCGGGCCCGTGCACGCGGGAACGATTCAAACGAAGGTGCGCCCAGGGGCGCCCCCCATGAAACTTGCGCAAATCACATAAAATTCGCGCAAAGGGTATATCTTACATACCCGAACAGCATATCACCCTGCACAAAGGATTGTACGTCTTTTGCAGAACACCGAAATTCGTTCTCGTTCACAGCTGTAGCTTCCAGTAACAACCTTCAATGAGAAGCCTGAAGGTCGAAGTGATCATGAGCAGGAAAGCATTTATACTGATCTAACACTCGGTGGGAACCTGGCACAACTGCCAGTGATTATGAATTCATCCTCGGCAACTCTGGATCCAGGTGTCCAGTCCCTCGGAAATGGCTCTACTCGACTCCCAACTTGAAGGAGGCAGACAGGGAAGTGTTGCAAGCGCCAGATGTGCTGATAGTTGTCCAGAATTTAGTAGGGGATAGGTTAATCACTGTTAATCAGCGCAAGTTTAACGACGGATCACTGCAAAATCGTCAACGACAGCGGAAACTGATGACAAAATCTCACTGTCTTTGTCTTGGTTGTTAGTGTTCTAGATCTGTGTTTTGATTCTGAGTACTGATTTCTACTGTCTTTTACGGATAACGAGTCGCTGCTATATTTAAAACATACCTCAAGTCGGAAAAAAAAACATGGTTCTACTGAGCTTGGAATGGAAAAAATATGGAACTCTCTATACATAGACGGTAGACATATGGACTTGTTGAGACGTATATAGAATGTATATACAGTATGGTTCGAGTATTAAGGCGAATGAGGTCCTGCAGGTAGATGTGGATGTGTCCCATGTGAAGCAGGCGCTATAGTACATTCGCAAAGTGGAATTGCCCGCAAAAGGGTTGCACGCAGTCGCTCCGATATCAGAACCTTATCTCTCTTGTCAGCCATCTGCTCAATCCATACCTTCCCCTCCTCCTTATACGTGAACGTCGTCAAAAACTCGTAATATTTTTCCTGGTGCTTTTCGATGGAGTCCTCATGTTCGCGCTCGTTAGAAGGGATGTGATCGTACACGGTAAATGTTACCGATTGAGGATCATCCATGGTCACGACGATAACTGCGCCGACGGTCATAGTAGTCCCAGGCACATGACCCTCGGTAACGACGACGTATGCTAAGCAATTAGTGTACCCGGAACAGAGCTTGCCTCCGGCGAACCAGAAGTACGCGATTTGCTTCGGGTCGTCAGGCTTTTCGGGGACCTTGGGATCATGTTCATCGGTGAATTTTAATTCCTTCGTCCAGTCATGATTGCCTTTTCCATGATTATTGTCCGTCGGATTGTTGTGTGTCGGATTGTTGTGTGTCGGATTGTTGTGTGTCGGATTGTTGTGTGTCGGATTGTTGTGTGTCGGATTGTTGTGTGTCGGATTGTTGTGTGTCGGATTGTTGTGTGTCGGATTGTTGTGAGGGAGCAATGCAGGGAGTAATACAAAGAGTAATGAGATGCTCTTTTGTGAAGAGCGTTGGGAAGAGATGTTGCGGTAGAAAGCGGTGCGAGAGGAGTGAGCTGAACCAGCAGCGGGGGATAGTAGGAAGTGGCGCGAGGGGAGTGAACTGAACCAGCAGCTGGGGCAGAGTTCACTCTTTCGTTTGAATTCATATTCTCAATGCAAATGGGCATATGCACATATGATGAGTTGGCACAGACAGATTTGCTAGTATCAGACTATCCCTGAAATTTGAAATCTCGCTTCTCGTTGTGTTTGATACAGGTTTGATAGCAAGCTGGACGGGAGTGCTTCGTTAACGAGTGTCTTGGTTGTTGGTATTTCTGTGTTTGGATTTTTTGCGGAGGAGAAGGCAGTTTTTTTTTATGGATAAGTCACCGCCGTTATATTTACTATCAGTTAGGACGAACAAAACGAACGAAACAGGTCAGTGATCGGAGGCGGGCAGGTGACTCACGACATCGAAGCGATAGTTGAACATTAAAGACTTAGAGTACTTACTCGGTGGGCAAAAAAGCAGACCTGAGGACTTGCCTGAGGATCTTCCGCAACAGGCCGCAGAGCATGATTATGGGCAGTAGTAACGCACTTCTAAAAGGACTTGATAAGGACTTTGGAATTGTAAGCTGCTACACGCGCTACGTCTAAAGTATTGCCCAAAGTGAAGACTTGACGGGAACTTTGATCCTGGAAGTCAGAAGGCATTACTGTATTATCAATCTGAGAGGAAAGGCCCGGCTGTAGACAGTGATACGCCGCGAAAACTTGAGTGTAATATACATGTACAAAAGCAATCGAACGTTGAAAGGGAATACATTATTTGAAATGCAAGTCCAAAAATTCTAATGTATCTATATGCGCCATATTGCCTCCTAGCCGGATTGAACGACTGACCTTTGCATTGCATACTTCCAACTACAAATACAAGTGCAACGCTCTACCACTGAGCTAAGAAGGCAGTACCATACTGCTGGCGCTGTGGCCGTTGAAAGGGGAAAAAGTCAAATGCAAGTCAAAAAATCTGGCAACTAGAGTTTTCAACCTTCATTACCTCCTAGCCGGATTGAACGACTGATCTTTGCATCGTATAAGGATCGTCATTTTGAAAGTCTCATACAAGTGCAACGCTCTACCACTGAGCTAAGAAGGCAGTTGCCTGTAGATTGCCAAAAGCCAAGTAAGAGCATCGATAGGCCAGCGTTATCGCTACACCCATGATCAAAGTCTCTTACACACTCTCTATGGTCACTTCAAAAGGGTTAGGAATTCACATTTATCAAACCCAAAAGTAATCCATAACGATCCTATTCAGATAACAAGCAGCCTTAATCTCCTCGCTGCGACGTTCCTCAGGGAAAACAAGTCCCAACACGCGATCCCATCCCGGCGATGCCCATTCCGGGTTGTGCATCCTGCAATACTCCCAAAATCCCGGCCAAAATCCCGCTGTCGCCCAGTCGATAACGGCTGTGATAGTCATTCCATCCACCATGATATTCCGCGGGAGCAAATCGGCGTGCGCGAACCGTATTGGGCGTGACGAGGCAGTTTTGACAACAGGTCCTCCGTGAACTTTTTGGTGCAAAAGTGCAGCAGGATATAGCGGTACATGTCGATGAACTCGAATAGGATGAGAATGCGTGAGATGGAAGAACGTGTGGCGGAAAAAAGCAGTTGTCGTATCGCTTTCCGGTGATGGAGCCTAGGGTTTTTGAACGAGGGCGCTGCATCTCGGCGAGGATAGTTTGGAGTTGGGAAGCGATGTGGGTGAGTTCCTGGAGCGTCATGGTATCGATAACCGTGTCCAGAGAGACCCCAGGGCATTTTTCCATACAGACATACCATATGCCCGAAGGTTGACGTTGACGTTGATGATTAGTTCCACCATATGGGGATCCTCGACGGAGAGGCGGGTGATGAAGAATTCGCGGGACACGAAAAGAAAAAATGCTTGCAAAGCATACTGCATCGCACGGATCTCTTCTGCGAATTCGCCTCCTCTGTACTTGATCAGAACGTTGGGAGCCGACTCGACGACTACTCGGACATAGCCTCTGTAGATAGCATGATTCGATAGAAGCTTCTCTAGATCTGCGTAGGTGCGAGGGAGCCAGAGGTCTGATGGTTGTTTACTTTTACGTCTAGAGTTGCGCATGGGTATCGAGTTGCGTGAGTATCTTCAATGTCGCGAGTGCATTAATATAAGCCTAGAAAGCAGCCATTGTACTTGCAGTCGGAAAGCACGTAGAAGGCACGTAGAAGACGGTGGATACAGTGAGAACTCGAATTTCATTTTATCATTTTTCCTACTCCGAACCAATGATATCGTGGGAACCCTACGTGAGGCTCATGTGGTCGCGTAAGCGCGTAAACGCGTTCAACAGAATATCAAGTTTTTCAACGCGTTTTCCTGAGGTTTTCGTTTAAACCTCGATTCATCACATATGCATCAGCGTTTCATGCATATCATGGCCCATTATTAGCTACTACTGTTTGCTTGATAACTGCCGCATGGCTGAGTTGGTCACAGCGTCCGACTTGTTATAAGTACAGTATTGTGTATGATAACATCGGAAGGTCGAGAGTTCGAGCCTCTCTGGGGCAGTTGCTCCATAAAATCTGTACTGAAGTTTTGGATGTTTATTATCCTTTTTATATGTTCCCTGAGTCCTACTTCTCTAGGTTCCGATGAGACAACTATTAAGTATCAGACTAGGCGGCTTCAAGCGGCTTGTCGGATAATGTTTAAACTGGTACTCTTCAAAGTCAAGTCAGAGGGGAGTCAAGGGGGTTAGCCTATAGTAGTAGATTGGAGCTAGTCCAAACCTCATGACCTTTCATTGACTATCACTACTAACCGCTTGATAACTGCCGCATGGCTGAGTTGGCCACAGCGTCCGACTGTTATGTTCCATGCGCCTATAGCACTGTTACTCTAACATCGGAAGGTCCAGAGTTCGAGCTTCTCTGGGGCAGCTTATTTAACCAACCTAGAATTTCATGATGTTTTTTTGGAGTACACATCATTGTTTGATTCTGCTGAAGTTTCCCGATGTTATCTTTTTATTCCTTTTTTTCAAGTGTTTCTGAATCCTAATGCAATCCTAATGTGTTTCCTGAATCCTAATCCTAATCCTCTAGGCCCTGTTAAGACTGACTTCAAGGCTGCTTACATCAGGAAAAGCTGTTTCTGCCTAGGTGACCCCAGAGTGGCCTAAAGCAAACTAGGTGACCTATGAATCCTATGGCATCCTAGGAATTTGGGCTCGTCCCTTGCCAGTCAAGGCTCTTGAGATCAAACCTAGGCTTGCCTAGGGAATCCTCAAGAGCCTTGACTGGCAAGGGACGAGCCCAAATTCCTAGGATGCCATAGGATTCATAGGTCACCTAGTTTGCTTTAGGCCACTCTGGGGTCACCTAGCAGAAACAGCTTTTCCTGATGTAGCTTCCGCATGGGTAACAGTTTAAACTGGAGTTGGTACTCTTCAATCAACTATCAAGTCAGAGGGAAGGAGGGGAAGGGGGCCGTAGGGGGTATTAGCCTAGAATTGAGCTGGTCCATGACCAGGCAGTATCATTAAATATTACCAACTGCAAGATAACTGCCCCATGGCTGAGTTGGTCACAGCGTCCAACTGATGACCAAACCCAGGCTAAAAGCACTGTTAATTTAACATCGGAAGTTCGAGAGTTCAAGCCTCTCTGGGGAGTTAATTGCTCAGTTTTCAAATTTTGGATGTTCCATGTCCTTGACTCCTTGTTCTTTTTTTGGGCCAAGTGTTTCCTGAATCCTAATCCTCTAGGCACTGTTAACTTTTAAGTAATAAGGTGTTAGCAAACTTGGCTAGCTTGGCTGCTTCAGTTGGGTTGCACATGGGTAAAGTTAGGCTTAAACTGGTACTCTTCAAAGTCAAATAAAATAACTGCAAGATAGCTGCCCCATGGCTGAATTGGCAACAGCGTCCGACTGTTATATGTGTTCAATGTAATTACCGTTGCTTAACATCGGAAAGTCGAGAGGTCGAGCCTCTCTGGGGCAGCTGACCCAGGTAGTACTCAGGCTATCATCGAGTTTTTTGATATTTCAAATTATGTATTCTCATTCTTTTTAAAAAAAATGTTTTCCGAGTTCCTTCAAGTTGCTGAATCCTGATACTCTAGGCTCTGTTAAGACTGTTATCAGTGATCACACTTGGCTAGTTCAACAAGTTTTAAACTGGTAATCTTCAAAGTCAAACAAAGTCAAGTGGCAAGCCAAGTCAGGGAGAGGGGGGAGGGAGAGGGGGAGGTTGCTTAGAGTGGAGCTCTTGAGAGTACTGTGGGATTTCTGTTAGGAATCCGATGAGTGTCCAATCAGGCGGTCAGTCCTGGGATCCAACACAAGTAGTTAGTGCAGTTGAACAAGGTATTAGATACCTCGCAAACGCATGAGTACTACGGTACTACATGCAAGCTTATATACTGTACATACTGTATACTATTGCTAAATACGATGAGTAAGGGCACGGACATATGTACATACCGATCCGGCTAACTAATCTCCGGAGTTGCCACATCGGCAATATACAACAAGTACTCCATTGTACATATTGAGACGCATATATGCAGCTTTGACTATCCTTGTTTTGTATATGCTGTACTTACTTTAAGTACTTACAGTAGTATACTATAATATACGGAATTGAGGCGACTGGAACAACTCAAGTAGTATCACTGCTGTTATCAATTGAGCAAAGGGTAACAGTAGGATTTTAATTTTTGGCCGGAGTATTGGGAGTATCGCAGGATGCATGTCCCAGAATGGTGTTCATGATTGCCGGGATGGGGACATGAGGAGGAGATCCTTAGTAGGAGATCTTAGTGTAGTTATTTGAATAGGATTGAATAAAAATCAGATAAAAGATTATTCTACAACTTGATTGTACTGCGTCGTAGCCACCCCAGAGTCATTCGAACTCTCGAGTTCCCAATGTCAAGTAATTCGCAACAGTTAGATGCTTAAACCAACTTAGCCATGGGCAGTTAATGATACTGATACTATGTTTAATAGTAGGATGATATTTTGTGATTGATACTAGTTCTGATAACAGAGAATTTCAGGAAAGAATAAAAATTGAAAGATCTTCGCAGTTAACATCATGAACTGCCCCAGAAAGACTTGAACTCTCGACCTTCCGATGTCACCGAATAAGCGGATCAATAACAGTCGGACGCTGTGGCCAACTCAGCCATGGGGCAGTTGGGGAGCTTGGTAGGAAGGGGTTAGTAGTGTGGCTTGATAGTGCACTTACTCTATAGGATGTAGCTTGTAGCCTTGTTGGAAGCTCTGAAAATGGTGATTACAGAACTACTTACGGTGGGG